GGTATATGGCGGCTTCGTTTTATCGAATTATAAAAACCTGCTCTCATGTTACCAAGAGTCAAGATCAAAACAACCAGGCCTCACAGGATGCGAAGATGATAAAAATGATGAGCGAGGGATTGATTATAGCTATAGGTCCATTAAGGATGATCTTTTCAACCTAAAATTGAATTAGGATCCGACCCTAAACAAGGCTAAGGGTTTTCGCTGAGAAAGTATCTTTTCTCTTCGCAAAAAACGCGGAGTTCGGTGATTAGTGACGTTCCACAACCGCCGGAGGGGATGCGGCCATCAAAGCACAGGAGACGCGGTTGAGTAGATTCTCCACTAAATATAATGTGCTTACACTGCAGTAAAATGCGGTAAAATTTGCGTGCGAACGAATAGCCACGCCAGTAATGCCGGCATTTCTCAGACATTCGCAGTTAAGTTCCGCCGGAGATCCGCCCACAAAATGAGAATTCGCGAGAAAACCGGGAGTCTTGCGCGACACCCGGTTTTGTCCCGACTATCGGGATAATCCCGACACAAAAAATGAAGCGGGAGAAAACCGGGAGTCGCGATCTCGGGGTGCGCTCTCAGTGTCTGAGCGTAAAGGACACTTGCGTGAAATACGTTGCATGGTCAGACTACCCTCAATGTCCACAACCTTGGATGTGTTTTCATTCTTACAGGCAAGAACACTATCAATATGTTCTAACGGACAACCTTTGATAGGATCTTGTCGTTATTCAATTTTGAACTCGGACCTGGTTTCCGAAGCTGCTGTACGGTGGCTTTAATTGACTTTTGTATATAAGCGGGAGTCCCGCCGGTGACTGGATCGCGACATTATCGGGACTCCCGCAGGAGCTCCCGGTTTTCTCAGTAGAACATGTCGGGACAAAAGCGCGTGTCGCGCAGCATTAGCCCGGCGAAAACCGGGAGTCCCGGTTTTTTCGCGAGCCATTTTACTTGTGTCCCGCAGTCATTCCAACGGGACACAACTTTTTCACCGGCGGGACTTAACTGCGAGTGTCTGAGTTTGCGCAATTGGCCGGCGTCACACGTTTAGCTATTTGTTCACGCGCAGATCTTACCGCGTTTTACCTGCAATGCCAGCACATTTTATTGAGCGGGAAATCTCCTCGACTGTATATACCTCTAAAAAGAGCGGAGATACTTTCAACGTTTTTGATGTAGGCTGTATAGGACGTCCGCGCTGCGCACGGAGAGCAACGCTGTTGCGTAGATTGAAGGCAGTTCACGACTGGAAGAAGCGCAGAGAAAAACAGGCGGCGAGAGTGCACGAGAAAGAGGAGTGACGCGCAATACACACCTTGCGCACTCTCCGCGCCCTGCGCGGACGGCCTATACCCTTTGGGAGGTGTCCGCCTGGGGTCGCCCCGCCCACTTTGCTACTTCCGGAGCGGATTTCTCGCTCCAGAAGCAGTCTTTTGCGGCGAAGCTTGGAGGTTTGTTTAGTATGGGGCCGCCCACACCCACGGATCTCCCTCATAGAGGGATCACAGCCGGTTAGTCGCGAGGCTACGTGGGGCGTCCCCAGGTGGCGGATAGGGGGATAATCGCCGACCAAAAGCGACCCCGCGCCTGCTCTGATAAGCAAGCGGAGCCGGGGGACGGACTCCCTGCCTCCACTAAAAGCTTGCGCCCTAATTTCCCGGGTAGGTGTGTGGGGAGGCGAGTTCGGAGTCGCCTCCAACAAATAAGCTCCGATCGTCCCTCGCGGGGGTTTTGAGCCCAACAAGCTATCCCTGCGAGTAAATTCTTGTTCGACCCAGTGATAATATGGAAAGCTCCTTTAATCTTGGAAGAGCCACTGGTAAGGCAGCGCCAGTGGGGACAAGGTTTGAAAGGCGATCTAGGCTGCCGAAAACGAGACGGACTATGATGACGATCTGTACTTACAACGCGAGGACGCTGGCATCGGACGCATCTATCGAAGATCTCATGATGCAAGCAAGGAAGATTAAGTACGACGTCATCGGACTGACCGAGACAAGGAGGCACCACCCGCTGAACGCCACATTTGAGATTGGAGGAGAGCTGTTTCTAGGAACATGCGACAGTCGAGGAGTAGGTGGAGTGGGAGTCCTTGTCAACACGAGTTTGGCCATGAACATCGATTCGTTCGAACAACTTACAACTCGAATCGGACGTTTGCGAATATCAAGATGTGGATCAATCCCTGCCTTGACCGTCTTCATTGCGTACGCCCCAACATCCAGCTACGATGAGGACGAACTCGAGGAATTTTATATGGACTTGGAGAAGTTCTACAGAGAAGATCATACCTTCTACAAGATCATCGTCGGTGATTTCAACGCGAAGATCGGAACTAGAAGGTCGACTGAGGAACTTCACATCGGAACCCATGGTTTGCAGTGGAACGAACAAGGGGAGAGACTGTCCGAGTTTATCATGACGACGAGGACTATCCATGGAAACTCACAGTTCCAAAAGCCCTCTTCCCTACGCTGGACCTGGGAATCGCCCGGTGGAGAGTACCATAACGAGATTGACCACATCATCGTCAACAGAAGGTACTGCCTGACGGACGTCGCTGTTGTTCCGAAGTTCTAACGGGATTAGACCATCGTCTCCTGCGCGCCAATCTACTTCCCGCGGAACGGAGAGAGAGCCGTCAAGTTCAAGAACGTCGTCCCATGAACACCACCAACTGGGATCTGTTTTCTTCGATATCCGGCTCATGGCGAGATACCGTGATGGACAACATCGACGAAGAATACGAACGGTTCGTACAACATCTCCACGGTTGTGCCAAGGAAGCTCAGAGTCTAAGAAGTACGAGAAGGCGTCTCACCACGGGGACTTTGGAGCTGATACGCCAACGTGGACGCGCACGAGCCACAGGCAACTACCGACTGACGTCCGAGCTTGCGAAGCGATGCAGAGAAGCGATAAAAGAAGACGTTAAGGAGAGAAGAGTAGCAGTGATGGTTGACGCCGCGGAGGCTGGAAGAAGTATACGCAACGCCCGCCGAAGCTTCGTCAACTTCAAGACAAAGATGACCGCACTTCGTCGTCCTGACGGAACCATAACTGCTTCCCGAAGATCAATGGAGAAGGTCATCCACGACTTCTACTCGGATCTTTTTGCGAGCCACGTCCACGTTCCACCATGCCATCTCAAGGAGGACGAGTATGTCGCACCGTCTGTTCTTCCTTCCGAGATTCGTCATGCTATCATGTCGATGAAAAACCGTACAGCACCCGGTCCCGACAGGATTAAGCCAGAACATCTGAAGAATCTTTCGCCAGTTCTCATCAAGACTTTGGCAAGGTTCTTCACGCGGTACCTGACGGAAGGCAAGGTTCCAAGGCAATGGAAGACCAGCAAAATCGTTTTGCTGTACAAGAAGGGAGATCCCTGCGACATCGGCAATTATCGCCCTATCTGCTTGTTGTCTGTAGTCTACAAACTCTTTACGCGAGTCATTCTCAACAGGATCGGAAGAGAGTTGGACGAAGGACAACCATGCAAGCAAGCTGGGTTTCGAAGAGGATTCAGCACGATCGACCACATACACACGGTGTCAAGGCTCATTGAAGTGTCACGAGAGTATAAGATGCCGCTCTGTCTCACCTTCATCGACTTGAAGAAGGCCTTTGACTCGGTTGAGACTGAAGCCGTCATCGATGCCTTGAGCAATCAAGGTACTCCGACTCATTACATCAAGATAATTCGTGAGCTGTATAACGACTTCACAACCACCATAACACCATTCTACAAGGACATCATCATTGACGTGAAGAGAGGCGTGCGACAAGGCGATACTATATCTATTATTACTATATATATATTATTACTATATATCTATTATTACTATATACTATCAACTATTCAGTGCCGCTCTGGAGAACGTCATGCGTAAGTTGGAATGGGACAACATGGGAGTGAAAGTCGACGGCCGGCAGCTATACCACCTTCGCTTTGCTGATGACATCGTATTGATAACACCAAGCATCACGCAGGCGAAACAAATGCTGGCCCAGTTTGACGAAGTGTGTGGAAAGATCGGTCTACGGCTGAATCTAACGAAGACGATGTTCATGAGGAACGGAAGAGTGCCTGATGCTCCTTTCATGCTCAACGGGACGAACATCACCGAATGCTCAAGCTACACCTACCTAGGTCGTGAACTCAATATGATGAACGATCTAGCTCCGGAACTGAGCAGGAGGAAACGTGCAGCATGGGGAGCATATAAGACAATTGAGGACGTAGTGAAGAAGACCAAGAACATCCGGCTCCGCGCCCACCTTTTCAACTCGACGGTTCTTCCTGCTTTGACGTACGCTTCAGAAACATGGACAATGAGAAAGCAGGATGAACACGCCGTTAGCGTCATCGAACGAGCTGTTGAGAGAGTGATGCTAGGAGTGAATCGACTCACGCAAGTGAGGCAAGGATTACAAAGTTCTACCCTACGTCAACGATCGAAGATCAGGGACGCTGCCGCGTACGCCAAGCAGAACAAGATAAGATGGGCCGGGCACGTAATGCGTTTCGACGACAACCGGTGGACGAGAGCTGTAACAGATTGGATACCACTGGACGTCAAACGCGAACGAGGAAGACCGCCGACGCGATGGTCAGATATGTTCACGAAGTTCTCTAATGAAGTCCTTCAGAGCGTTCCACGTGTTCCTGGTGCGATACGTAAACATTGGTCAACAATCGCCCGAGACAGGGACGAATGGAGGCATCACTGGTACCCGCTCGTGCAACACGATGGTCAACGGGGATACAGGTGATACAGGTGAGTCTCGCTAACCTCCATTTTGGGTGGACGGTGCCTTTAATGCCCGAAACAGCTTATTCTCCCGCATTCATCCAGGCCTGGAGAAGATCTAAGCTTCAGCGAGATGATGTTGTAGCATTCAACTACAGCGCATCTTGCGCTCAACACTATTTTCTTGAGAATTTTCGGAATGCATTTCATACCCATATTTTCGAGTTTATGCGTACTTACCAGTTTTCATATGAACTCTTATTGAAACTTTTTACAAAATTTCTACACAATGTGAACCAAGTAACTGCAGTTCTTCAAGTAGTAGGGGTGTGAACAAAACTAAGCGAATGAGGCGCAAGAGAAGCTATGTTCATGCATATCTTCTAGTCAGCGTGATGATAATGAGAAAAAATGTTCAATCATGAAACGTAAAGAGGTAAAGCAGATGTGCGATAAGATCTCAATCTTCAAAGTTCTCCTCCATCTTTGTAGTCCTTTTTCTAATGATGCATATCGGATCGGGGACGACAGTGATTGTGCAAGTGCGTTTTTTTTTCTGGAATAAGGGTGTTTTAGAGCTGATGTGCATAGAATAGATCTACATATTAGGTTGGCACGAAAAAGTTTGCGTAATCCAAACGAAATTCAAGAAAATTTTCGATAAACCTAAGTTCAAAATTTGGTATCTCAAAAAGAATAGAAGGTTTCCGCTTTTAATAGATGTTTGAGCATAACTTTCTATGAGTGCCACCAAGAACGAAGCTTTTGAAAATGGCGTTTCCAACTCCAATCTCGTAAATAAAAACGAAAAACTTCTGAGAATTGTCATTTTACAAGGTAAATCCTCTTATCGCTTCAGTTTTTCGCAGAAACACAGTTTGGAACCAGAAATTAGACTAGTGCCTATATACATTGTAACGTTGGAACGTTAAAGACTGTTTTTGCTGAAAAAGTGTAGTAACGAGGGAATCTTTATTGTGAAATGACATTTTTCATAAAAATTTTTGTTTTGAGTTACCATATAAGATCGAAGCCTATCACAGTAATAGCTGTAATTTTTGCAGATTTTTTGAGCCAGCTAGCGGCCCTCCTGATTTTCTAGCATCAATCAAAATCCCGATTTTGTGACGCCATTGGAAGCTTCATTCTTGGTGGCTCAAAGCAAGCTCTATAAAATGAAGTTTATCTTTTGCACCAGCTTCGATCCACCTCAAGATTTGAACCAAGATCTAAAAAGTTTCGGATGACCAAAAATTGAAAATTTTCTATATTTTCTTTTAAAAAAATCCTACAGATTTCTCACTCGCTCACGCATCAGACACTCATATATGCTGTTATTGTATTTATTTATTAGCAAGAAATCAAGAAAACGGAAATTGTCATGTGTTTACCAAAGTGATGCTGGCTGTTCTTACATTAACAATTGTATGCTACAAGCCCTTAAAAGTACAACCGCAGATTTTTAACTCTCTGTAAGCTCTGGTTTACGGTTAAGCTCTGGTTTCCGAGAAATGTTGGGTTAAGCGTTAAGAACCCGAGTGAGGAAAGCCAAATTCAAAACGGAAACTATAGCTTATATAGAGCTAAAAATTTACGGTTATACATCTAAGCGCTTATGTTGTGCGACTGTTAGTGTAAGAACAGCACAACATCAGTTTAGCGAAAATATGGAAATTTCGCTTCCTTATTTTCTAGCTAACAAAAAAATACCGCAACAGCACACATGAGTGTCTGATGTTAATGTACAGGGTGTTTGAAAAGTTCGTGTCCTTAAGCACTTCAACTGCGAACGCTAACTCGATTTTTGCTATGTGTATTCGCCAAACCTAGAAACCACCGAATCAACAAAGAAAAATATTTTTTGTCTCAAGATATCCTAAAAAATTTGGAAGTAGAGAATTTTTTCAGCTTCCTTGGAGAGGCGGAAGAATGCGCTATCTGATTTATTCTTTTATTTTCAACGCCGGAAAAGGGGAACAGCTTTTGGTTTTTTTACTACAAATAGTCCTTTTACACTTTCTTCGTATAACAAAAATTCTTTGGAGATTTTTTCATGCGCTGAATCACAGCAGACAGTCGCGGCACCAGTTTGCCTGGGATTTTTTCAATTTAAAAAAAATTGGAAGTTTTATTTCAACATGTACTAGGCTGTTGCATAAGTTCTGTCCGATTTTTTTGCCTCATGTTTGAAGCAGCTGTTCTAAGAGAATTTCATCTCTAATTCGATACGGTTGGTATCATTGAAAAGTGCTTTCCTTGCGCTTTCTAAAGCATACCAGAATTCAATAAAATTCTTAGTGTACGGAGATCACAGGCCTAAAATCTCTAAGTGGCCGAGGTACGTTCTATCCCTAGAAATATGTCCTTGCGAGGATATCTCTACAATGCGCCCTTCAAGTCAGGTTCTTTCATTGGCTTCGGAATAAGGGTATGGAATGCTAGTATATGCAGAAGTTCGGTCCCATGAAGAATACGTCTTGCTAGTGAAATTTATCCTCGAACATAAATCTTTGGTATAAATGTTTTACAAGCAATAACTTTCTGCGAATAGAAGTAATCGACAAGCTCAAAGTTGGAGGTGCTAGGGCAAAGCAAGAGCTAACAGGGCCCATCCACCAATTCCTTTTCGGCGCTCACGTCAGTTGTAAAACGTTCGTAGTTCATAAATAGGCATGCACACATGTGCTGAAGCGAGGTCAAAAAGTGGCTAATTTTTTGTTCGGTCAAGAAAATCTCTCGGCAGCGCAAACCCTATGGGCTCTTTTATGTCGCATAATAATCTACGAAAATTTCTCTATCCATCCATTATTAGAAAAGATGCCTATCAATTTTCATAAGGGAGCGTTACCATGTCAAAAAAGACAGATTCGAAGAAAAACGCTGCGAAGTTTTTGCATTCTTGGTTCTTCCTTAACAAAGATTTGCGCAGATCGCATTATGCATTTTTTAGCCAAGGGACTGCTCAACACATAGAAACTAAGACCTTGGAAAAAAGTTGACTCTGAAAGAAGTTATGACATTTTAAACTCAAAAATTCAAATCGGACAGAACTTATGCAACAGCCTAGTATTTGTAGCATAAAACTCTCCGACCTTCGTTGTATCTGTTTTCAAAAATTTTGCACGCTTGTAAAGGTTTTGAAAATAAAATATAAAAAATTCCAGTGCTGGACTTTTTGACGAAAAAATCCTGAAAGTGGATCTCTTGGCTTTCGAGGCACGATATTTCAAAACGAATTTATTAGGTCGTTCCGAAAGTTCTTTCCGTTTTTTCAACCTACCATAAAAACACGTGGAATGAAGGTAGGGAAACGCTTCAGGTACTATCCGATGCAACTTTTTTTTCTCTTTTCAGATGACAATTTCTGTGCCGCTTGCTCTTGAGGTCAGTGAGATAATGGCCGAAATTTCGAACCCATGGTTTTTATCATGTCCAAATTTGGCAATTTTTCACAATCTTATTTTTTGACTTTTGGAAAAGCTTTGATAGCAGTCAGATAGAGTAAACAAAGTGCAATTTATTAGAATTTTTTGGCGTCTATAGCCAGCCTTAAAAATTTTTTAGAATTATTTTTCTGATGCTATCAAATTCCACTTTTCGTGATGCTAAGAACCATAGAACATAAAACGGCGCACAACTAAGGTGTCACTCGATGCAGCTTTTCTTCCTCTTTCTATTGAGTATTTTTCTTCCCAATTTGTGGGAGTTTTTGGCGATAAAATTCCCATAATTCTTGATTTTGAACCTGTCTAAGGGTGTACACGTGAAATGCGAAATCTCAAATGTCGAAGCGGTAAACACTCAGTTACTTTGTAAAAATAGTGTATAATCATAAACGACTTTTGAAAGTGTCGAAATCCGAAGATTTGTTAATGTTTGGAGCGTTTATGTGTTTTGTAACTTCGAAAAAGTGAAGACTTCTGGAAAAATTATTTCAAAAAATACTGAGAAGCCAACTGAGAATGCCGAAAAATTACATTAAATTGCACTTTGTTTACTCTATCTGATTGCTATCAAAGCTTTTCCAAAAGTCAAAAAAGAAGATTGTGAAAAATTGCCAAAGTTAGACATGGTAAAAACCATGGGTTCGAAATTTCGGCCATTATCTCACTGACCACAAGAGCAAGCGGCACAGAAATATGACAGTTGAAAAGAGGGAAAAAAGATGCATCGGATAGTGCCTGAAGAGTTTCCCTACCTTCATTCCACGTGTTTTTATGGTAGGCTGAAGAAACGGAAAGAACTTTCGGAACGACCTAATACTTCTGCGAAAGTAAAAGCACATTCAAGAAACCTTGAAGAAGGGGCTCTTAGAAGGTATACAAGTTTTCTGTGAATTATGTTTCCTTTTTTGTAAAAAGCGTTTCAAGGAAAGAGGTTTGGAAAGCCATACTGATGTGTTTCAATCTGTCGAGACGCAGACTAAGAGGTGGTCCGACAGTCCTCACCCCAACTGGGCGGTGCCCAGCAACTCCAGATGAGCTGTGCCTAACCGGGTGACCGGCGGTTACCCTTCCCCCTTCCTTATCTTATAAATATATAATAAAGATTCTAGTCATAAATGTTATGTTCATATAAAGTAAGACAATCAGGGTGAAGGATTCAAGTCAGGAGAGTGCACCTCCTGGACTTGACATGGAGGTCCCGCGTTGTTTTCTTTTTATGACTCACATTTTTTTTGAATCAATCATTTTTCGCGCATTATTTTTCTGAATCAAAAAAAAAATGAAATTCATTTAGCATTGATTTTGGCCAAGTCTTTGCAAACTCCCACCGCCGGCACCAGCCCTCATCTCCTACGCCTCTACGTAGCTATTTTTCTCGTATTTTTTCTTTTCTTATCTCATTTTCTCAATTTCTTCCCTAGTTCTTTGAGTCAGGCGATGAGTTTGAGTTTGTATTCATGTAGTAACCTCATTTAAAATAACATTTTCCATTTATTAATATTCAGTCATTTTTTCTTGCTATTTCCGAGCCGTGATCCCCCGAGCCGTGAAAAAGCGAACCGTGATTTTCCCGACGCGATCTTTCTAGATGAGTCCAACTCTCTAGATTGAGAATTCGCGAGCCCTGAATTCCGCGAGCCGTGATTTCCTAGAGCCGTGATATCCCGGAGCCGTGAATCATTGATATTTTCTTTATGTTTTCCTTTCTTTTCAACTGGGAAACCCCAGGTTTTTTTTCACGCGCACATACATGACTCAATGACTCTATCGCCACAGCCGGCATTATACATATGTAAATAAGGTCTCGCAAGTGGAAAATGCACTGTGAACCAAAATTTTTTTCCCCTTTCCAACTGTCACTAGTGGAAAGACCACTGTGATAGCATTTTTTGACTCTCGCAAGTGGAAAACGCACTGCGAGCCCAATTTTTTTCATAACTCTCACTAGCGGAAAGACCACTGTGAGAGTACTTTCGCTTTTCATAATTCTCACTAGTGGAAAGACCACTGTGAGAACGCTTTTCAATTTTTATGACTTCACTAGTGGAAAGACCACTGTGAGAACGCTTTTCAATTTTTATGACTTCACTAGTGGAAAGACCACTGTGAA